CCGCAGGTGCAGTGGGACTGCATGAACCCCAAGTACAAGATCAAGAAGCGCAACTACAAGAACTCGGGGGTCGTGGTGCTGCTGGACCTGAAGGTGAGTGCCTGCATTCCGTGCCGAGCCGTGCCAAGCCAAGCCATGCCTGGCTCTGTGAGCCAGTGTGGGGCAGGACCAGCTGATGTGAGTCCCTCTGGAAGATCCACAGGGTTTACTCCTTCCTGGACTACATCATGGGCGGCTGCCAGATCCACTTCACAGTGAGCAGAGTCCCCCACCCCACACAGCAGGGACACGCTGGTGGCCCAGCTCACCCTTGGGGAACCCTCACTGCCCCCCCTCCACCCCAGGTCGCCATCGACTTCACGGCCTCCAACGGGGACCCCCGAAACAGCTGCTCCCTGCACTACATCAACCCCTACCAGCCCAATGAGTACCTCAAGGCGCTGGTTGCTGTGGGTGAGATCTGCCAGGACTATGACAGGTTGGTCGCTCTGGTGGGTTCCCCAGGGCCAGACACCATGGTGATGGCCACCCTGGGGTCAGCTGCCCTGGTGATGGCCACCCGGTGATGGCACCAGAGCTCCTCACACCCCTTCCCTTGCAGCGATAAGAAGTTCTCAGCTCTGGGCTTTGGTGCCAGGATCCCTCCCAAGTACGAGGTGAGAGGTGGTCAGAGTGCCAGGGCCCTGTGGGACTCCAGGGATGTGCTCATCCCTCCAGACACCCAGGCCCTGGCACTGGTGGGGCTCAGCAGGTGGGGGGTGGGCACTGGCCGCCCCCTCCCCTCCTGCCCTCCAGGTTTCCCACGACTTCGCCATCAACTTCAACCCCGACAACGATGAGTGTGAGGGTAAGTCCAGCCCTAGCGGGGTCCGGTCCATGGCCAGGGTGTCCCTTCTCACTCCTCACACCCCCGCAGGCATCCAGGGTGTTGTGGAGTCCTATCAGAGCTGCCTGCCGAAAATCCAGCTCTACGGCCCCACCAACGTGGCTCCCATCATCACCAAGGTGGCTCGTGTGGCGGCCGACGAGGAGCGGACCAAGGAAGCGTCGGTGGGTCCTACTGGGGCACCAGGTTGGGCTGAGACCCCCACATGCTCGTGACACTTGTGGGTGCTCCCATGTGGGGCCGAGCAGCTCCCCCAGAGCATCCCTGTCTCCCCAGCAATACTTCATCCTACTGATCCTGACGGACGGAGTGGTGACAGACATGGCAGACACGCGGGAGGCCATTGTCCGAGCCTCCTACCTGCCCATGTCCATCATCATCGTCGGGGTAGGCAACGCCGACTTCACCGACATGCAGATCCTGGACGGGGACGATGGTGTCCTGCGTTCTCCCAAGGGCGAGCCCGTCCTGCGCGACATCGTCCAGTTCGTGCCCTTCCGCGAGTTCAAGAACGTGAGTGGGGCAGGCGGGGGCCCTGCCGGCCCCTCCCAGCTCTTCCCATCCCCTCTGGTCCTCTCCTGCCCCTTCCCGTCCCCTCTGGTCCCTTCTACTCCTCTCCCGTTCCCTCACGTCCCGTCCCTTCCCCATCCCCTCTTTGCCCCCTCCCGTCCCCCTCGTCCCCATCTGTCCCTTCTGTTTCCTTCGGTCCTCCCCAGTTCCTTCCCGTCCCTTCCACCCCCTCCGGTCCCCTCCCGTTCCCACATCCTGGCACAGGGAGCCGGTGCCCACGGGTGCTGCTCCGCACGGCGGGGCGGGCAGGTGTCGCAGTGGCCCCGGCTCACCTCCGTGTCCCGCGGTGTCCCGCAGGCGTCACCCACAGCCCTGGCGAAGTGCGTGCTGGCGGAGGTGCCCAAGCAGGTGGTGGAGTACTACAGCTACAAGGCGTTCCCCCCGCGCTGCCCCCGGCCCCCCACCCCCGACCCCAGCCTCGGATCCCCGCAGTGAGAGACCCTCACTGCCCCCAGCCCAACCTGTTTCCCCCAGTGAGGAACTCCCAGCCCCCACTCCAGCTTCGGCTCCCCGCAGTTAGAGATCCCCAGTGCCCCCAGCCCCAGCACTGGGTCGCCTCAGTGAGGGACCCCCGACCCCAGTCTTGGCTACCCCCAGTGAGGATCCCCAGCTCCCCCCGGTGTGGCACAGGGACAGACTGGGTCCCTGCGAGTCCCAGCCCTGCCACAGCCCCCTCAGCTGGGACACGGGGTAGGTCCTGGCCCCCCGGTGCTGGACACCTTCTGCACCGCCCCGGGGTCCCCAGCAGGCACTGCCCACTCCTGGAGTTCCGTGCCCTGTGGCCTGTTCCCGCTCCGCCCCTACTGTCCCCTTGGTCCTCTTGGTCCCCGCTTCTCTGTCACTGTGGTGTTTGGAGGCTGCATGACTCCCACAATAAAGCAAGACCCCTGTGCCCATCCTCATGCTCTCTGGGTGCCACCCTTCCATGAGGGTTGGCAGAGGGACTGGCAGATCCTGGGTGCTGTCCGTGTCCCCTCGTGGTGATACCATGCCACCCTGGTTGGTGACGAGAGCCAAAGGCATCCCCCAGCCCTGCTGCTCCCACATTTTGGGTGTCCATAGCCGGCAGTGTGCTGGGAGCACCAGAGCTCTGAGCGCTGGAGCAGCCGCCGCTTTCATGTGCTGGAGTGGGCTGTGCCACAGCCCTGAATCCAGGGCACAGAGCTGAGGGAGGTGGTAACGGAGCCGGCCCTGCTGCCCTGCACACGGCCACTGCCACGTGCCGTGTGCTGTGTGTCACATGGCATGTACCATGTGCTGTATGATGTGTGCCATGGGCTGTGCACCGTCTATGTACCTTGTGACACATGCTATGTGATGCCTGCTGAGTGTCATGTACCATGTGTTGTGTGCTGTGTGCCACGTGACCTGTGTTGTGTCATGTGCCATGTGCTGTGTCCATGTATCCTGTGCCACATACTGTGTGCCATGCAACCATGTGATGTGTGCCATGGGCCATGCATCCCATACATGTACCTTGTGGCCATGTGCTGTGATGTGTCATGTCCTATGGGCCACATGCCGTGTCCCATGTGCCGTGCATCATGTGTCATGTCCTGTGTGCCATTTGCCACATGTTGTGTGCCATGTGCTCTGTGGCATGTGTCATGCAGCGTTGCATGCCCCGTGTGTCTGTCCCATGTGCCATGTGCTGTGTTCCGTGTGCCATGTGCATTGTCATGTGCCACATGCTGTGTGCTGCATGTCGTGCCATGTGCTATTTGTCATGTGCCACGCACCATGCTGTGCCATGTGCCGGGCACTGTGCCATGCTACTACCACGTGCTGTGCGCTGCTGATGCCAGTCCTGTGCCAGCAGATGCTCCTGGGGAGGTGACATCTCCTGGGGCACGGTGTGACCAAGGCCACCACAGGGACTGAAACTGGGGCCTGGCACAGTGGGGCAGGGGCCATCCCAGACCCAGCCTTGGGGGTGGCACTGAGCTGGGCTCTGGGATGCTGCCATCACCCTGAGTGAGGGTACGGGTGCCAGACTGTCCCTGTGTGGGCAGACACTGACTGGGGTGGCCCCGCTGGCCCTTGGACACTGCCACCAGTGCAGGGCACAGACAGGGCACACTGCCTGCACCCCCATCCAATGCCTATATATAGTTCCTGATTCATCTCCCATAAAGCGGGATCCTGGATGTTGCCATGGAAACCCAAACCTGCTGCCTGGGAGGCTGCAGCACTCACCGGCCATGGTACGGACAGGGGGCTGCCCTGGCACCCCGGTCCATGGGGACAGATGGGTGCCCCAGGGCGGGTGCGGGGAGACCCCGTGGTGCTGGGGGTGTCCAGAGTCACCGTGTCAAGCTGTACCAACTGGCAGCGCAGAGGGGCTGGGAGGGATGGCAGGGGTGACAATGCTGGCAGGAGTGGAGGGGTGGCAGGGGTACAGGTGTGGCAGGAATGACAGAGGTGGCAGAGCTAGTGGGAGTGACAAGAGTGGCAGAGCTGGCAGGAGTGGCAGGACGCCAGTGTCACTGTCCCACAGTGCTGCAGACCCCAGAGAGAGTCTCACCACCTTCCCCCTCTCAGCCAAGCCCTGGCCAGGGGCTCTGGTGGTGCCAGGGTCAAGCCCCCACACCCCTCACCCTGGCCCTGTGCTCACCCCACAGGGGCTGGATAATGAAGCTGAGTAATTATTGACAGTGCCCGCGCTCCACAAGGCAATTCCTTGGGGCGTGGCAGAAGGGCTGGGAGGTGTCCTGCCTGCCTGGGGCACCCCAGAGTGCTGGGGGGGGGAGGAACAAGCCCCTGGGTGCAAACACCCCAGGAGGGGAGATGGGCAGGGGGAGCATCCAAACAGGATGGTCAGGACGCTGTGGCCCCCTCCCAAAGCACTGGGGAGAGCCTGGGGCAGGATGGGTGACATCAGGGGGCATTGGGGTGCAGGGGTCAGGAAGGGGTGCACTGGGGCGGGGTGGAGGCAGTGGGGTGCAGGGGGCTCCAGGGGAGGGGATGCACTGAGGCAGGATGGGGTGTATCAGGGGGCAGGGGGAACTGGGGTGGAAGGAACACTGGGAGGGGTGCACTGGGGCAGGATGGGGGAATGTTGGGGTGCAGGGGGCATCTAGAGGGGTTGTGCTGGGGCAGGGTGGGGACATCAGAGTGCAGAGGGCACCAGGAAGGGGTGCACTGAAGCAGGGTGGGGGCATTGGGATGCAGGGGGCACCGGGAAGGGGTGCACTGGGACAAGGTGAGAAGATATCGGTGTTCAGGTGGCATTGGGAGGGGCTGCCCTGGGGCAGGGAGACTCCAGGGGTGGGGGACCCTGAGTGCTGCTGAAAGAGCTGGCTCTGTGCCCTGGGCTCTGCTGGCAAAACCTATCACCCTGCTATGACCCCCCACAGAGCCCAGCACCCCCCACGAGCCTGGCACCCTGCCACAGCCCGCCTGGCACTCTGCCACAGCCCTCGCTGGCTGCCCAGCTGCTCCTGGCTGCTGATAAGGTCCCAAAGGAAGGGTCCCCACCCCGATGTGTCCCTGATAACTCCAAGGCTTCCCGTTTCCCGCCTGACACCGGTGGGAACACACAGCCTGCCTGGGAACGACAATAAATATTTATTTCCACAGGGCAGGATGGGCGGAAAGAGGGGTCACGGCCATGTGCCCCTGCCTGGGGGGAGTGAGGCCACAGGGACAGCCACAGTGCACAGCTGGAAAAGTCCCCCATCCCCAGGGAGGTGGCACAGTGCCATGTCCCCCAGCCCCGTGGGAATCCCTTGCCCCAGGTGGCATTTGGGGGTGTGTTATGGGGTGCCAAGGGGTGCCTATGCAGAGTGCTCCTTCTGCAATGATTCTCAGCAGGTTGGGGTGAGTGTCCCCCCAGGTCCCTCAGGCCATGGGCCACTGCGTGGGCAGCTCCACGTCCCCCATCTCCTCCTGGTAGCGCTGGTTAAAGAGGGCATTTTGCTGGGGGGAGAAGTGGTCGCGCCAGTCCCCGACCACACCTGCGGGCAGAGGGCAGAGGGAGTCAGGGATGCTGTCCCCATACTGCCCGTATCCCCCCAGCCCCTACCCCCTCACCTTTGCGCATGAAGCGGCCCTGGCTGTGGTCCATGATCTCGGGGGGGATGAGGGAGTAGTTGGCCATGGCGTTGTCCCGCATGGCGGCAAAGCTGCAGTGCTGCTCCAGGGCTGTCAGCGTTCCTGGGGCCAGCGGGCACCCCAGGAAGGTGCTGAGGCGCTGCGCTGTGCCACACAGGTCCTGGGGCAAGGGCATGGTCAGCGCTGGGCACCAGTGGGGATGGGGACAGGGATGGGGACAGGGATGGGGACACTGCAGGGCTCACCTGGTGCAGCTCCTCGTAGGTGACATAGAGGATGTCCAGGAGGTGCCGCTGGCCCAGCCAGCCCTTGACGTGGTCAAACCAGGAGCCGTAGTGCACTGGGGGGAAGGTAGGGAGTGATGGGGGGCCCTGGGGCTGAGTCCCCCCTGCCAGGGACACCCCCAGCCCTTACCTGTGCCTTCAAGAAACTGCGTGAGGAAGGCATCAAAGGAGCCAGGGTCAGGCAGGAACTTGGCCAGGTGGTGGAAGTGGTAGAAGGAGACGGCAACATCCTTGGGGTTCCTGGCCACATAGATCACCTGGGGGGGACACAGTGTCACCCCCATGGCTAGTGGGATTCTGCTCCACCTGGCTCAGAAAGCTCCTGCCATTTCCCCAGCTGTGGGAAGCCCCATGGGTTCAGGATGTCCCTGCGGGGACCCCCCCAGACCATCTGTCTCCCTCTCACCTTGGCCTTGCTGCGCTGCAGGGCAGGGGCCAGGACATGGGCGGGCATGTGGGTGGTGAGCAACCGGGGGGTCTCTGTGTCCCGCAGAGCCTCCCGGCAGTAGATCTGCTCCAGCCAGGGAGCCCGCTCCCAGTTGGGAATGGTCTTGGCTGGGCGGGCGTCCCCAAGGCTGAACATCAGCGTCAGGATCTCCTGCATCCAAGTGGTGCCTGTGGAGGTGGGAGTCAGGGCAGGGCCAGCTCAGCACAGGGCAGTGCATGGCATGGCACCACGGCATGGCATGGAATGGCATGGCTCAGCACAGCATGGCACTGCAATGGCACGTGCCATTGGATGGTACAGCATGCTGTGGAGCAGATCGGCACAACTTGGCTTGGCATGGAATGGCTCAGCTTAGCCTGGCCAGTCCCATCCCAACCTATCCTGTCCCATCACAGCTCAGCTCGTCCCGGGGCAGCAGCTGGGATGGCAGTACCATGTGCCCCCCCTCGACCCCCACAGAGACACCACTCTGGGGCTGGGACAGTGTGGGGCAGCAGCACAGGGGATTCGGGGGGCGGGAGCCGCTGGCCAGGAGTCCCCACGCTGTGCCAGTGGCCCCGGTGTCCCCGAGCCCAGCCCCCTCCCAGCCCCGCCGGCGGAGCACGGCCCGCGCCCACCCTCCAGCCGGAGGTCCCCAGCGCTGTCCCCGTGTCCCCCTGCCCCTCACCCGATTTGGGGTAGGTGGCGATGAGCACGTCGGTGGGGCGGAAGGCGAAGGCTGCGGCGAAGCGGAGGGACTCCTGGGTGTGGAGGTGGCCGGGCAGGGCGATGCCCGCGAAGGTCTCGGTCACCTCCATGCGCTCCATGGCCCTCCCGGGTGGGACGCGCCGGGCGCCGCTTAAATAGCGCCGAAAGAGGAAGCGGCCCCGGCGGGCGGGGGACTGGACTCCCCCGGCACATTCCTGCCGGGAAGCCGAGAATCCGGCCGCGCTGGGGCCATCGACGGGAGAGCGCTGCTGGCAGGGGCTGGAGACACCCGGGATGGGGTGGAATGGGATTGGGTAGAATGCAATGGCGGGGGGGAGATGGGATGGGTTCCTGCATGCCCAGACCCACAATCGCATCCAGGAGAGTCGGGGGAGACGGGTCACCTCGACAAGGGCACCGGGAAGCATTGCCGGCCACAGCAGCCCATGGTGACCCTGAGAGGTGCCAGTCCTGCACCGTGCCCCACCCTGGGCTCCCCACAGCTGGCACCACGCAGCGGGAAGGGATTCCCATCCCAGCACACACCAAGATGAGGTGTCCAGCTGGACTGACCACTTCCATGTGGCTCCATACCATTCCCAGCAGCCCCACCAAGGCCTTGCTGGGAAGGACACCACAGCCCCCGTGCCAGAACGAGCTGGGATGCTCAGCCCCCACAGACGGCGGTGCCTCAGTTTCCCCTCAGGATGCTTCAGGGTGGGGGATCCCGGCACGCGTGGAGGACCATCAGCAGCTCCACACCGTGGTTGTGCCACCCCGACTGCTGCCCCCGGCGTGTGGCGGCTCCAGCGCCGTGGTGGGGGGTGGCTCTGGGGTGGCTGGAGCCCATCCCAGCCCTGCCGCCGCACGCAAGCCGGAAAACATAATTCAGAGCCGTCGCAGGCAGCGGCTGCCCGAGCGTCCCAGGGCCAGGGTGAGTGGGGACAGGGGTGCCGGGGGTGCCTGGGGTGCCAGTGCTAGGCTGGGGGTGCCCATGGATGCCAGCGGTGGGGAGGCAAAGGCGGGGATGGGCCTGGCACTTTCCCAACCACAAAAAATCTGGGCTTCATTAGAGGGGCTGGGAGCGTCACTGCGGCTCGGCAGAGAGGCCACGGCACAGCCATCGGGGCTGGGCTGAGGGAGGCTGTGGCCGTGGAGCCCTGGCATTGCCAGGCGGGCACAGGGCACCCAGGGAGGTGTGACACCACGCTCCTGGTTATTCATTGACGGCGGGAGGGGACGGCAGGAGCGGGGCAGCCATCCCGGTGCATGTGCTCACACGGTGGTGGCAGGTCATCCCTATTCCCCAGCAGCATCCAGCAGGAGAAGATGCCGGACAGGACTGTGTGGGTGCTGGCACTGGCACTGGCGCTGGCACTGCCCTGTGCTGGGCAGCAGCACCAGGAGGAGGCCGAGCGCATCATGACCGACACGCCGGTCATCGACGGGTGAGCAAAGGTCGTCTGGGCCCCAGGGTGCCTGGCTGCTCCAGCACCCTGGGAAAAACCCAGCTGGGAAACTCTACTGGGACAGGCCGATGGGGGATTCCTGTGCTGGGCATCTCAGGGCTGTGCAGAGACAGGGAACAATTTTCCCAGGGGATCCCTGTGCTGGGCGCCCTGGGGCGTGCAGGGACAGGGGACGGCTTTCCCAGGGAATTTCCATGCTCAGCATCCTGGGGCCATGCAGGGCAGCTTTTCCAGGGGATCCTTGTGCCGAGCACCCCAGGGCTCTGTAGAGAGAGGGGACAGCTTTCCCAGGGGATCCCGTGGGACCATCTGTGCAGCAAAGGGGATCCCCAGGGCAGTGCAGCCCAGCAGGAGTGGGCAGGGTGCCAGGAAGTTGGAGTCAGGCTTCCCCGTGGGAAGTCCCTGCTTGGGGCAAGTGAGTCAGTCCTGTGGAGTTATGTCTTAAGGGATGTCCCCAGTCTGTTCTCAGGAGGCTCCAATCCCCCCCACCAGTGCTGTGCCACAGCAGTCAGTGGAAGAAGGAGCAGGGCAGGGGGAGCCAGGGGTGTGGGACTGTGACGCAGGGGGGAGAAGTGGGAGCCAGCCTGTGGGCCTTGCCCCCCTTCCCCCCAGCACTTCCCCAGTGGCACTGCTGGGTGCAGGATAAGGGTGGCAGGATGTCCCTGCAGTGGTGACATCCCACAGAGATGGTGGCAGTAACGTCCTGCCTGAGGGATGCTGTGCTGGCTCCCCGGGTGCAAGGGCTCGTGGGGGATGGGGATAGAGGCTTGGAGGGGTGCACAGGGGGGTCCTCCAGGAGGTCCCATGTGGGGCTGTCCCCACATGGGCTGGCTCCTGTTTGGAGCTGCTTGGGTGGCTTTTGGCAGAGGTGTCAGATGAGTGGGTAGATGGCAGGAAGGATGATGGATGAATGGATAATGGATGGAAGATGGATAGGTGGATGGATGGATGGATGGATGGATGGATGAATGGAATGACAGCCAGATGCAGGGACTGTGTGTGCAGCCAGCCAGGAAGGTGGGCAGCAGGAGGCCGGGAGGGCAGAGGGCCAGGCTTCCCCTCAATGCCCATCCCTGCCCTGCCCAGGCACAACGACCTGCCCTGGCAGCTCCTCAAGAGGTTCAACAACCAGCTGAGGGTGCCAGCAGCCAACCTGACACTGCTGAATGACACCCACACCAACATCCCCAAACTGCGCAGCGGACACGTGGGCGGGCAGGTGGGATGGCACAGTGGGGGGGGGGCACTGGGGCAGGTGCTGGGGAGAGCAGGGGGCACCAGGGTATGCAGGGTCACCAATGAGGGCACTGGGGAGGATAGGGGGCAATGGGCATGACAGAGACACTGGGGAGGGCACCGGGGCAGGCAGGGGTCCCTGGAGTGGGGAGGGGCACCGGGAAGGGCACTCAGATGGGCAGGGACAATGGGGTGGGTACCAGGGTGGACACCAGAGCGAACAGAGGGCACCGGGAAGAACACTGGGGTGGGTACCAGGGTGGGAAGAGATCACGGGGGTGGGCATGGATACTGGTGAGAGCACTAGGAAGGACATTAGGTCAGGCAGGATGCACTGGGAAGGACATTGGAGTGGGCAGGGGCACTGGGGAAGGCACCAGGACTGTCAGGGGGGGAACTGAGGTGGATACTGGGGGGGACAAGGGCACTGGCGTGGATGGCAGCGGTCCTGGGTCTGTGTCCCCATGCTGATGGGGTACCTGGGCAGTTCTGGTCCGTGTACGTACCCTGTGAGACGCAGAACAGGGACGCGGTGAAGCGCACGCTGGAGCAGATCGATGTGGTGCAGCGCATGTGCGACCTGTACCCAGAGACCTTCGAGTGCGTCACCGACAGTGCTGGTGAGGGGGCATGGGGCTGGGGCACGGGAGGCTGGAGGTGCTGGTGTGCCGTGCCCACCCCAGCTGATGCCCCCCGCCCTCCACAGGCATCCAGAAGGCATTCCAGAGCGGGAAGGTGGCCAGTCTCATGGGGGTGGAGGGCGGCCACTCCATCGACAGCAGCCTGGGCGTCCTGCGCACCTTCTACCGCCTGGGCGTGCGCTACATGACCCTCACCCATAGCTGCAACACTCCCTGGTAGGACCCTGGGCATGAGGGAACCAGGATGGCATGAGGGGTGTGGTCAGGGGGCTGCCCTGATGTTCTCCCTGCTCCACAGGGCTGACAACTGGTTGGTGGACACCAAGGAGGAAAAGCCAGTGCACCATGGCCTCTCAGCCTTTGGGAAGGTGAGGAACAGCATTGGCAGCAGTGCCCAGGAGCAGTGGCTGAGGGGGGACATGGTACTGGCACCATCCATAATCCATCCATTCTCCATCCATCCATCCATCCACCCACCCACTCATCAGTCCCATCTGCCAAAAGCCACCCAAGCAGCTCCAGCTGTGGGCTGGGGACAGGTCACTGCAGGGGACCCTCCCATGCCTCCCTCCACACCCTCATCCCTCTCCCCATCCTGGTCCCCGTCCCTGCAGACGGTGGTGGAGGAGATGAACCGCCTGGGCATGATCGTGGACCTGGCCCACGTCTCGGTGGATACAATGAAGGTTGTACTGAACATCTCCAAAGCCCCCGTCATCTTCAGCCACTCATCTGCCTACGCCCTCTGTGCTCATCGCCGCAATGTGCCCGACGATGTGCTGCAGCTGGTGGTGAGCAGGGGGTACGGCCAGGGCAGGGCAGGGGACATCGGGGGCTGTGGGGGACCATGGGGGGCCATGGGGCTCAGGACTCTTTCCTCCAGGCCTCCACGGGCAGCCTGGTGATGGTCAACTTCTACAACGACTACGTGACCTGCAAGAGCACAGCCACACTGGCTGATGTTGCAAGTGAGGTGGTGTCCGGGTGGGTGGGTGCAGCGGCAATGCCCCTGTCCCACTCACCTCAACTCCCTTGTGCCTGCAGACCACATGGACTATGTGAAGAAGGTGGCTGGGGCCGAGTCTGTTGGCTTTGGCGGGGACTACGATGGGGTCACACGGTAAAGGGGGTGATGGGTGCGGGATGGGCTGTGCTGGTGGGATGGGGGGGTCTCTCCTGTGCCCTGTGTGGGCAGTTGGGGGGTGCAGGGGTGGCCCAGCTGTAAGCTGTGGGTGGCACAGGCTCCCCACTGGCCTGGAGGATGTCTCCACATATCCTGCACTGGTGGCTGAGCTGCTGGCAAGGAATTGGACAGAGGAGGAGGTGAAGATGGCCCTGGCTGAGAACCTGCTCCGGGTCTTCAGCAAGGTGGAGGAGGTGAGTGGGGCATGGGGAGCACTGGGATGCACAAGGCAAGCAAGGGGACAGTGGGAGCACAGAGACACTTGGGCCATGGGGACACAAAGGCCACTGGGTACACTGGGCACAGGGATGTACAGGGCATGGGGACACATGGAACAGGGAACACATGGTACACAGGGGCACTTGGGGCATGGGGACACATGGAATATGGGACATGGGGGACAGAGACACTTGGGGCATGGGGATATAGGGAATAGGGGACACAGGGAATAGGGGACACATGGGGCACAGGGACATTTGGGTCATGGGGACACCTGGGGCAGCAGAGACAGGTGGGACATCAGAACATGTGGCATTCAGGGATTTACGGGGACATGGTTCATGGTTTGGTACTGGGACACGCAGAGCAGGGGATGAATGGACATGTGTGGGATGGCATGGGGCGGCACAGGGATGTGCGGGGTAGCAGGGCTGTGTGGGGCCCAGGCACTGCCCCTCGCAGCAGGAGCCCACCTTGTCCCCATGTCAGGTGAAGGGGATCCTGCAGG